AGGAGAACTTCCCAAATCTGGTGAAGGAAATAGACTTCTAGGTAGCTCAGAGAGTCCCAAAGAAGCTGGAACCAAGGAGGAACACACCAAGACACATCGCAATTAAATTACCTAAGATTAAAGATAAGGAGACAATCTTAAAGGCAGCAAAAGAAAAGGAGAGAGTTACCTACAAAAGAATTCTCATAAGACTATCAGCTGTTTTCTCAAAAGAAACCTTGCAGGCAGGAAGGGGTTGGAAAGAAGTATTCAAAGTGATGAAAAGCAAGGACCTACATCCAAGATTATTCTGTCCAGCAAAGCTATCATTTAGAACAGAAGGGCAGATAAAGTGCTTCCCAGAGAAGATAAAGTTAAAGTAGTTCATCATCACCAAGCCCCTATTAAAGGAAATGTTAAAGGGCCTTATTTAGGGAAAAGAAGAAGATCAAAACTATGAACATTAAAATGACAACAAGCTCATAACTACCAACAACTAAACCTAAAACACAGAAACGAAAACAAACTAAGCAAACATCTACAACAGGAAAAGAATCGCAGAAATGGAGATCACATGGGGGGTTATCAGTGGGGAGGGAGCATGGGGAGAATGGGGGACAAAGTACAAGGACTGAGAGGCATAATTGGTAGGTACAAAATAAACAAGGAGAGGTTAAGAATAAGGATAGGAAATTGAGAAGCCAAAACTTACACACATGACCCATGGACATGAACAATGGTGGGGGGATTGTCTGATGGAGTGGGGGGTGTTGTGTGGAGGGAGGCGAAGGCGGAAAAAATCAGAACAACTGTAATAGCATAATCAATAAAATATAATTAAAAAAGAAATAGTTGGAACCCATTATTAAATTTGGTAACAGTAAAAACATTATGTAACTGCAGCTATTTAAAGGTTTACGCCAAGATACTGATCTTTTGCCAGAGTTTAATCTTTGATACAAGTCTATAATACCCGTATTATTTATAAGATGGGGAGAAAAAGGAATTCTTAAGTTCTGGTACTGCTCTATCTGATCTTGAAATGGAATGCCAAAACACATACTATGTGCAGCAGTGTTAGAAGAATATAGAGATAGCAGCAAGAAAGAGACATCACTGGTTCACGCTAGCACTTTTTAAAAATCTGGATATTGTGAAATCAGTCACTACAATGTTACAAAGAATATTACACCATAAAACCAAAAGGGTACATAGCACCGAAGGGACAAACACTGCATTATTATCCCCCAAGATAATACATAAATGTGAGAGAGAAACATCAGCTGACGGCCTCTTGCACATGCCCCGACCAGGGACCAAACCTACAACCCAGGCATGCGCCATGACCGAGAATCAAACTGGTGACCCTTTGCTTTTCAGGACAATGCCCAACCAACTGAGCCACACTGGTCAGGCCCCATGTTAAACTTTTAAACTTTTGTGATCTTGGCCTAGTTTCAAAAGAATAAAAAGAAAAAACTAAAACTATAATTTATAGTAAAATATAAACTATTTTATATTCCCCAAAAGAGATTTTCTCAAATAGAGATTTTACTACATACAAACCCAAGATGTTGCAAAAATATGTCAGATTTTTTATTTAAGGAAACTGCTTCTAAAGTTGGCAAAATAACTCAGTTTCTCTACTCATAAAGTTGTTAGCCTTGATGAAAATGACATGAGTATTCAATGCTGTTGTTTAACACTCTCTTAAGACTAAAGACCTCCAAGTCATTTGGTGCACCTGGAAAGGACCAAATTCATTGTTTTGGGAGATATGTGCAACCAGAAGAACTTAAGATATGATAATGGAGAGAAGCAAAAACAGAACCACCTCCCTCCCAGTCACTCACACACAAAACCAAACCCAGAACTCGATTCTCTTTCAAAATTTCACTTATTTCTCTTCTACAACCATTTGCCCCATTTTATATATCTTTTACATTTTCCTTAATATAGGTCAAATTCAAAGTACTGATTCTGATGCCAAGTGTTTTAATTCTACTGTAAATCTTAAAGTACCAAAATGAGAATTTAAAAAAATATTTTTAAGCAAGTAATTGAAAGAAGGTTTAAAACTATTATTTTATCCTCTATAAACATTGAAAACTTTATTTTGAAGATTCTATAATATGTAACTATACAAAATGGCACAAAAGCATAATGTAGTAGTTCCATTGCTCAAACTACTAAAATTGGGGTGATTCAGCAATGTAATTCCAACTCCAGTCTTTCCATTTACTTTCAACAAATAAGGTAAAACACTTAAATTAAAAATTTTTACCTAAGTAAAGTTGATCTTTAGAAATAATGTTTTCTAAGCTGCTTTTGAAGACAGATAAATAGGCAGCTCTACAATTCATGTAAAATATCTCCTCTTCTGTTAGTGGAAATTTCTTTGTTCGAGGACTCTCTGAAAGCATGGAGCTCTGAGTGGAGAAAGAGGCATCACTTCCTGGACTGATGGCCATTCTATTAAAAAATAATTTAAAAAATGGATTTAGTCAATGTTAATCCCCTAACATGCAAATGTCACCTTGCCTTTCAAATGGGAAGGGGGAGGAATCAAGACATCAAAGTTTTTATTTGTGGGAAAAGAAGATGAACATTATAATATGCATAAGGTATAATAGTAATATATGTTAAACTAGAACAAGGCTTTTGGCAGTTGCTTTCTAAGTGTGTGTGTGTGTGTGTGTGTGTGTGTACACACATACATGTATTCACACACAGCTTTCTAAATATAAAGCTTCTTCTTTATTAATGTACAGGATGAGGAAGAAGTAAGGCCTGCTTGAGTGCAGTTGGTAGGGTAATAATATGGGTGTAATAATTTATAGTTTTAATTTGAATATTTCACCTGAAATGTCATATGGTGTGCTTGAATGTGATGTTATGTTACCGAACTACATGCTCATAATTTTGTAATAAAAAAGGGGCGTTATTTGCGTTGAACCCTGTATATGTATATACAAAAAGAACAAAACCAAAACAAAGATGTAACATAAAAGAAGAATCACAGGGCAAAGAAAAACCCCACATCTATTCTCTCAAAATAAAAGGACAGTTAGTTGAGACTCTTCATAGGGTTGTCATGAGGATTAAATAAGTTAATATGTATAAAGCATACAGAACAGAATTTGACACAAATTAAGTGCTAAATAAACTGTAGATAGAGTGAAACTTCACAGTAATAAGAAGGTGGATATAATGTGATTGACAGTTGGCATCCCTGTCCGCAGCAGGACCAAGCAGGTCATTTCACTAACACCTCATAATGCAGCCCACATTTTAAATGACTGAATTTTACAAATCCCATTTCTAGCATCATCATGAGATTTTACTGTGTTCCATTACTAATAATAACATTTTGGGTTTATATAGCACCTCTGCTCACAAGAGCTTAAATAGCTGTCATACATCATGATTTATCACTACTACAGTGGTCAGGTAGTTGTGGTCCATTTTACAGATAAGGAAATTGAGGGACACAGTGTTGCCAATTTAATAGTAAGTAGCAAAGGGCAGTAAAATTTGGTAACAGTTTCTTCTTTATTAATGAGAACGAAGGCTTCTCATACAATAGTTACTGAGGTACTAAATTGTGCCGGTAGTCTAACAGCTTCCAACATTATTTTATCCAGCTTTGACTTTTAAAAATACATTCCAGCCTAATAAATTGAATATTTCAAGTTCAACAATAAGACGACACAGATAGGGTCCCCTTCAGGACTCATTGGATTCTTACTCAAGAGACCTAAATCACTTGCACCTTCTTGAATTATATAGGTCTTTTACACTTGGGAAAGAAAGATAATAATCGCTTATCATGGATGAAGTACCCTATTTATAATACACAGACCGCCTGCCTGACACTTTCATATTACAGCAGATTTAGAAGGACCCCATAGGGATGTGTGGTGTCACAGTCTGGTTACTGCAAATTGGTATCACTATAATTAAGCATCACTGTTTTAAACACATATGCGTGCACGCATCTCTTAAAAAATGTGAAAGAAAACCGTTACAATAAGGAATAGAGAATGTTCATTTTGCAGCAAGCAATTTTAAAATACAAGTTTTTTTTTTGTGGGTTTTTTTTTTTTTAAAGAATGGTCCTCCAATACTCTTTCCAAATAAGGTGACTCCCTCACGTGCAAATCCCACGGCAGAAATGTTCCAGAATTCTATTCTTTTCCTTTCTGTGAGAAAAGACCACACTAGGCTTAAATAAATATATAATTGTACCCCCTCAGGCTTGGAAACCTCCTTCATTTAAAACTCCAGCCCGAGACTCAGGCAGGGGCCTAGAGAGTACACTGCAGCAAACGGCTCCATAAATAACCAGCCACACAATAGCAAGAAAAATAAACTAACAAGCGCCTAGGGCTTTTAAAGGGCCAAGTGAAAACAGAGAGCCAGCCACACCGTCCCTACACAGTGAAATATGTTCACAGCTGATCTCAGGCAACATCTCTCTCTCTCTCTTTTTGTATTCCTCTGGGCATAAAGCCGCATTTATACGTACATTTCAGGTACCTATATGCACCGAGTGTTAGTATGAGAGAGAAGTAAAAGAAGGTGGGAGAAAAGCCCAACAGTAAGGGACGGAATGCGCAAAGAGAGACAGTGAGTTGATTGCTACCTAATTCCAGTTTACAGACGAGGAAGCTCAGCCAATTCTCTGCACGGATTCCACAATCAGCTCACCGAAACAGGACGGACCTCGGCCTTTCTTTAATTACCATGGCAACTGCACCTCTCTGCCACCGGAAATAAGATACAGAGCATCTCCCCAAACGGTCCGGCTAGAAATCTAAGGATCGTTAATTCATAGTGATCAGAGACAGTCCTGTTGCTCCTCTGTCCGGGCTGTTACGGCCAGAAGCGTGAGAGAATGTCCTGTGCCCCTCTGCAAGGGACTGGATGCGGTCTTAGATGGACACTCCTTCCTTCTTGCCCCGCTTGCATTCGGATCCGCTGTCGCGTAGACGGTGTTTCCGGCGGGCTACGTTGAGTGTGACACAGCGACTGGCGACGGCTCGCCCGCGCTTTTCAGGCTTCTGTATTCGAAAGATTCTGTTTTCAGAAGAGGTTCCTCAGTTAGTTTTACGCAGCGGCGGCGATCCTTACCTGAATGTGGAAATGCCGTAGGTATCTCCTCCCCAGGTATTGCTGTTTGTCGGGAGTCCCCGTGGGCAAAAAGAGTAAATATTTTGTGGCCCAATAATCTTTTTGTTCTACTTTTCTGAGTATAAACTTGACTCCACCATCGACAGTTCCTGGTGCTTGGTACTCTCAACCCACCTCTGCTCATCTTCCAGCCGTAGTTATACGGCAGTCTTGGTCCACTTTGATTCCGATTCCCCAAGGCTTTTGACTGATTTATAGGCTGTAGATTGTATTTAGTGGTGTATTTAGTGCTTGAAATAATTTCAAATATGGCTAACATAACAAGAATGGGATACAGTAGATTGAAAGGTGCTGTATAATTTGATGACGCCCATTAGTGTGTTGTGGTGAGTTCGTATAACTTGTGGGACAACTCAAGAACTTGGTCCAAAAGACCTGGACTCCAGCTCTGAAACGGGGAAGCGTAGCCAATTCTGGCGTGTTTACTTGTTGCTGCTCTATAGAAACTTTTTAAAGTTCACTGAAGAAGTTTTTCTTTGTGGTGGAGGGATTAATATCTAACACATGGAATTCTCCGGCTGTCTCTTGTCTCCGAGTTGACGTAGGTACCCCCTCTTACGCATTTCTAGAGTAACTTACTCCTCCGTTATTTTCCGGCTAGAGCCAGATGGGAAGTAACACAGCAAGGATGTATTTGTATCAAATAGGAATAATCGACATGAAAGTGGAAAGATGTAAAGAAGTAACCCACATTTATTGAGTCTTTATGATTTGGTACGGTGTTTAGTTTACCTACATTTTCTAACTGAATCCTGAGAAAGGACTTTTGGAGGTAGGAGCTGCTGTTATCTCTAATTCCCACATAAGAAAACTCAGCATTTACTATGGTGTTTGACACGTAAGTATCAATAAATGTGTTTCACTTATATCCTTGAAAGTTATGCATTATTGAAGAGGTTTTCCTTTCCCCAGAATTAATAAGATGTGTCTCCCTACTGAACTATTAAAAAAAAAATCCAGTTGGCTCTTTTGTGAAACAAGGGAATGCATCATCATTTTTGTGATATTTATGCCAAAATATACTTAACTTTATGGGAAAATATCCAGTATACCAAAATTGATACTCTACAAAAATAGTTGGCCCTTACTCTTGAAAAGATGTTAAGGCCAAGAAAAAGGAAGTTGAGGAATTGTTCTAGATTAAGGGGAATCAAAGATATGGGCCAATTAAATGCAATAAGTGATCCAGGATTGGATCTTAGACTGGGTAGAAAATTGGCTACAAAAGAAATTATTAGAACAAATGATAAAATTTGAATGTGGACTGTTGGTAATAATATTGTATCAATGATTAATTTCCTGAATTTGATTAATATACAAAAAGTCAGTTGCATTTCTTTTTTAAAAGATTTTATTTATTTTTAGAGAAAGGGGAAGGGAGGGAGAAAGGGAGGGAGAAAAACATCATTGTGTGGTTGCCTTTCATGTGCATGCTATTGGGAACCTGGCCCACCGCCCAGGCGTGTGCTCGGCCTGGGAATCAAACGTGCAACCTTTGGTTTGCAGGCTGGCGCCCAATCCACTGAGTCATACCAGCCAGGGCTGCATTTCTGTACACTGATAATAAACTACCAGAAAGAGAAGTTAAAAGAACAGTCCATTTATAATTGCATCAAAATGAATGAAATACCTAGGAATAAATTTAACCAAGGAGGTGAAAAGACCTGAAATCTATAAGACACTGATGAAAGACATTGAAGAACACACAAATAAATAGAAAGATAAGCCATGCTCATGGATTGGAAAAATTAATATTGTTTAAATATTCACACTACCATCTATATATTTGCAATCTATATGTTTGATGCAATCATTATCAAAATCCTATGGCATTTCTCAAAAAAAAAATAGAACAATAATCTTAACATTTGTATGGAACCACAAAAGATCCCAATTAGCCAAAGCAGTCTTGAGAAAAAGAACAAAGAGGGAGGCACCATGCTGATTTCAAACTACATTACAAAGCTATAGTAATCAAAACAATAGAGAGCCCAGAAGAAAAGCCACATGTGTATGGTCAATTTAGAACAAAGGAGCCAAAAATATACAGTGGGGAATGGATAGTCTTGAATAAATACTGCTGGAAAAACTGGACCCCTATATTACGCCATTAACAAAAATTAGTGCAAAATGTATTAAGAACCTAAATGTAAGACCTGAAACCATAAAACTCTGGAAGTAAGCTCCTTGACATCAGTCTCAGTGATGATATTTTGGATTTGACACCAAAAGCAAAGATAAGCAAGTGGGATAACATCAAATTAAAGAGCTTCTGTACAGCAAAGGAAATCAACAAAATGAAAAGGCAACCTATGAAATGGGAGAAAGTACTTATAAGGGGCTAATAACCAAAATATATAAAGAACTCATACTGCTCAATAGCAAAAAAACAAAACAAAACCTTAAAAAATGGGCAGAGGATCTAAATAGACATTTTTCCGAAGAGCATATACAGATAGCCAGCAGGTACATGAAAAGGTGCTCAACATCACTTATCAGGGAAATCCAAATCAAAACTACAATGAGGCATCACCTCACATTTGTTAGAATGGTTCTTATCAAAACGACTAGAGATAACAGGTGCTGATTAGGACCTAGTGTAGAGAGGACCCTTGTGTATTGTTGGTAGGAAGGTAAACTGGTGCAGCCACTATGAAAAACAGTATGGACTTTCCTTTAAAAAGTATAAATAGAACTACCATATGATTTAGCAATTCCACTTCGGGTATTTATCCAAAGGAAATAAAAATAATAATTCATGAAGATATCATCACCCCCCACCCCCACCATGTATATTGCAGCATTATTTACAATAGCCAAGGCATGGAAGCAACCTAGGTATTCACCAATAGATGACTAGATAAACAAATGTGGCATACATATAATGGAATACTATTCAGCCATTAAAAAGAAGGAAATGCTGCCTTTGGCTACAATAAATACTGCCATTTGCTACAACACTGATGGACCTTGAGGACATTATGCTAAGTGAAATAAATCAGACCAAAAAAGACAAATTCCATATGATCTCACTTATATGTGGAATCTTAAAAAGCAAAACAAAACAAACAAACCATGAACTTGCAGAAACAGTACAGATTGGTGGTTGCCAGAGGTGGTGGTCAGGGTGAAGGGTTAGAATGGATGAAATCAGTGAAGGTGGTCAAAAGGTACAAACTTACAGTTATAAGTCCTGGCAATGTACTGGCTATAGAAAACATTACTGTAAAAATTTCCTGCTTGTGATCATTGTTATTATAAAAGAAAGTATTCTTAGAGACACAAATATTTATAGGTAAAGGTATACAATATCTCTCTTATTCTCAAAAAAGATTATGCATTATATATATATAATATATATACATTTGTGTAGAGAGAGAATGATAAAGCAAATGGGTCAAAGTGTAAACAAGTGGTAGGTCTGAGTAAAAGATAACAAGAAGTCTTTTTCCTAGAAGTTTTCATAAGTTTGAAGTTATATAAAAATTAACTTACAAAAAACTCATCAAATTGTTTTACAAATAAAAAGTACTAATGGTGGAGTAAATAGTTAATTAGTCACAGTTGGATTAAGAATTAGACAACTGACAAATAGATCTGAAGAAATTGCCAAAAATGCAGTATAGAGACCAATGATCAAATATAGGAATTTAGAGACTTAGATAATTAATGAGAATGTCTAAAGTAACTTCTAGATGAAGTCTCAAAAAGGTAGAATGAAGGCAAGTAAGTATTTGGAGAGATTATGACAGACTTTTCCAGAACTGATAAGACACAATTCTACTTAAGAGATTATTTTAGAGATTAAAATCATGTTAGTGTAACATCCTTTGGGGACCTACATTTAAACTACCTTAAATAGAATGAGGGGATCATAAAAATTAAAGGAAGTAACTGTATTTTGGGATTTGAGACAAGTGTTAAATTTAAAATAAAAATAATTAAATTATTAATTTATAAAACAACTTTGTGCTGGTCATTGTGTCAGGCCTTGGGATTCAAATGTGAACAGGTGCTATACCTCTCTAGGAGTTTTCATTTCAGTGGGAGAGATAGTTCAACAGGCATTTTTAGAACTCATAACCTACCAGTTAACAGACAAGATGCTGATGATATAAATCTCTTACTCTAGGGAGGAAAGACAAACTAAGTAGACTATTTCAATGTGATACGTTCTGTGAAAGAGACACAAGTGCTACAGGTGTAGAGTGGAAAGATCCTTAGTGCAAACTGGACATTTTCAGGGGAAATTTCTTAGAAATGATTGTGCTGGAATCTCAAGGGTAGAATAGCATCAATGATAGTTTATTATTAATTTTAATGTTGTAAAATATAATACATATGAGAAAATATATAAAATCCCTCTGCAGCCCTGGCTGGTGTGGCTCAGTGGATTGAGTGCCACCTGCAAACCAAAAGGTCACCAGTTTAATTCCCAGTCAGGGCACAGGCCTGGGTTGCAGGCCGGGTCCCCATCTGGGAGTGTGTGAGACAACTGATGGATGTATCTCTATCTTGCACCTTGATGTTTCTCTCCCTCTCTCCCTTTCCTTCTCTCTAAAAATAAATAAATATAACCTTTAAAAAAAATCCCTCTGCCATATTTAATTCTGATAAAACTCCTTGGCCCCTTTCAATTGTAAGGACTTATGCTTTTTATATGTATGTTATGTGTGATGATCATGTTTATATATGTCATGCACACATGTTTATGTGTTTCTTGCAGAAAGTAATAGTAATGAGTATTAATGTTCATTTTTGAGAGTACCCATTTAGGAGTGAAATAATTTTATGGTATTTCTCATTTTATTCAACCAAAGAACATCTTTTTTTTAAAAAAAAGACGTTTATTGATTTTAGAGAGAGAGGAAGTGAATGACAGAAAAAAATATCAATGTAAGAGAGAAACATTGATTGTTTGCCTTCCATACAAACATTCCACCTGCGACTTAGGTATGTGCCATGACTGGGAATTGAGCCTACAGATTTTTGGTGTGCCAGATGATACACCAACCAACTGAGCCACATTGGCCAGGGCAAACCAAGAACATCTTACCCTCACCTGTTTATCTTCTGGGGTCATTATTCTCAAATATGTCTCCTTTGCTTCTGTAAGAATACTTTAGCTAATTCTTTATTAATTTTTTAATAAAGAAGGTTTTGACACTATAAACATACCCAATAACTGGTTAGGATAGTGATACTTCTTATACATAAAATGGAAAAAATTATTTTAGATATCTCAGTTTACACCTAAGGAGTCACATGGGATGTGAATTTGGCCATTGCCTTTCATCAAAGTATCTCATAAGCATACTCAATAATCCTAAATACTCCTATGAAGTTGTAGCTGGCAATATTACCTTCTCCATTATAAGGAGGAGTAAATGGAAACACTAACATAGTAAGTCATATTTTTATTTTCCATTGAGAAATTTTTTGCTAGTTTACAGGCCAGTAATGTTAATTTTATGAAGCTCAGTGAGATTCTGTGATTTGCCTAACCGTAGGGGAAGAATTTGGCATAGAGAGCATCAAGGCTCCCTGAGTCTTACCTGCTTTACTAAGTTTATCTTCCTAGCTGCCCCCCAAAACACTGTTACCCTCAGCTCAGCTATTCCAAATCATATGTAATCCAATGATTTAAAAATCTTGTAAGAGAATCTCAAATCATGTAATTTCGTAAGTTTTTGAGGTGTCATTCCTACTTCTTAATTAAGGAATCATTTTAGAATAATTTCTTTTGTGTTAAAATAATACATAACATAAAAGTTACCATTTAAACTATTTTAAGTGTACAGTTCTGTGGCATTAAATGCATTCGTGTTGTGCAATTAGCACCATTCATCTCCAAAACTTTTTTATCTTGGAAAACTGGAACTTTGTACCCATTAAATAGTAACTCCCTATTCAACCCTGGCAACCACCATCCTATTTTCTCTCATGAATTTGACTAGTTTGAGTACCTCATTTGAGTGGAATCATATAGTTTTAGTCCTTTTGTGATTGGCTTGTGTTACTTAGTATAATGTTTTCAAGGTTCATCCGTGTTGTAGCATGTGTCAGAATTTCCTTTTCTAAGGCTGAGTGGTATGCCAGTGTGTGCATATGCATATGCCTGTGTGTATATACCATTTTCTTTCCTCATTTATCTGTTGATGGACATTTGCATTACTTTTAATTTTTGGCTACTGTGAATAATCCTGCTATGAACGTGGTTTAATTTTTTGAGAAACTGCCAAGCTGTTTCCCACAGGATCTGTACCATGCTGTAGTCCCACCAGCAGTGCGCAGAAGTTCCAGTTTCTCCACATCCTGGCCAATTTTTTTTTTTCTGGGTGTTTGTTTATTTATTTATTTGGTAGTAGCTATTCTAATGGTTTTAATGTGGTATCTCATTGTTCTGATTTGCATTTCCTTAATATTAGTGCTGCTGTTAGAATTAGCGATGGTGGGCATCTTTTCGTGTGTTTGTCGGCCTGTTGTATGTTTTTAGAGAGATGCCTATTTAGGTTTTTGCCTATTTCTGAGTGCCCAGTTTTTTACAGCCAAGTTAGGAACCATAAGAACTGCTTATAACTTTACAGAACTGCCAGGGATTTATCACTTTTAATTGCTAACTAAGACTGGTAGCAAGTGAATGAATATTTTAGGAAAATATCCCATATATCTAATCAAGTTTTGCCTGTTCTTCATTTATCATGTTTCATCCATCTCTTCTTCTCTGTTCTGTTAACATTATCCCAATATGCTTGACATCATCTCATGCTTATATTACAGCTGCATCTGGGTAAAACAGGTTTTTTGTTTGTTTGTTTGTTTTTAAGGATAAAAGCATATAGTAGGCGCTTAATTTAATAACTGATATCTTAACAATGGGCCCAGTTCTAACAGAATGGTAAGAATAGATGGTCATAAATTCCCCTAGTAGGTTTGCTCTTCTTTACCTCTTCCTTAGTCCCTTCCTCTCAATTTGACAAAGACTTATTATGCCCAGGACCTGAGGTCTGAGTTTCTCAAGCTGTGTTTCAGTGGTCGAGTCACACCAACTCCTCCTATTGGATGAACTAAGTGACTACTTTGATTTTTCCCAATCTTGCCTATTAAATCTTTTTTATTCTTGTAAATATTTTCAGCTTTTGATTATTGGATGCCTGAATTATCTGAAAACTACATTTCTCACAATAAATTAAGTCTTTAAATTCTCACTAAACTATTAAACTGGAAGATAACAATCTAACTCTACTCACTTGTTTACTTTTACATGTTTCCTTGGACTTTTTAGATCAACTTAGCACCTAAACTAGAAACCTTGAAATCCAAACCTTTAGTTTCCTTTTCCGGGAATTAACCATCAATAATAAAACAAAAATATTTTGAACTTTAATAGCAGGGTGGAGTTTGTTTCCTTCTGAAAGGTAGAATTGCGTTTTAACAGCATTTGAAAACAAAGGATAAAAAAAATCATACTGCATACTTCTAGTTTTTTATTTCTGCTTTTGAAGTTTTATTAAACGCCAAAACATCTTACACATCTGAATGGGGTAACATATATTCCGAAGCTAAATATAAATACTTTGTTTTGGATTATCTGCCAGTTTTAGTTGTTCTTAGGTCTCTTTTCTTATTGCTTCATTGAGAAATCACATTCAATTGATTTCAGGTTGACTTCTAAAAGATATAACTAATTCTTTAAACCAATTTAATTAATCTCAAGAAATAATGTTATGTGATAGGCTGATGTAGATGTAATAGCAAATTTAAGTGAACCCTTTTTAGATATGATTTTTGTATTTAATATGTACTGCTCGGTAATTTTGTAAATTGTCCATCCCTTTCATTTTTCTCATTCCTGTCACTTGTTTGAAAGTCAGTAGTCATTTATGAAGTCATTTCTAGGTTGTATAAGATTTTTGTTTTTTATGCTGTAACCTTTATTTACATTACAATTTTTTTTTTTTTTGCCTAATGCTCAAATTCTTGAATATTTTAAATAAAAATTTCTCTCAGAGATCAAGAAAGTACTTTTAACTGTATTTGTCATTTGGAAAACTAGTTTTAATTTATATTGACCTTTTTCTCCTTTGAGCATTTAATCCGCATTCAATAAAATGTTGATGACTGCTCTTTAGAAGACAGCTGTATGAAATAAAGTATTATAAATATTCAGCTTTCCTTTCTAAGCATTGTCACCAACAGCTGGGCATCCAGTTTAGCAGAACAGATTTTGCACAGAGAGAGCCTGGCATGTTCCTGAATCGGTTTAGTGAAGGAGACAAAAAATAGTTTCATATGGATTGGGGACTTATAAAGACATAGAGCATCTGTTCCTCAGTTAAGTCATAGTCTGGTAGCACTGAATCATGGTTAAAGCTACAAAAATGTGCAAAGCTTTTTTCAAGTTGCTCATACCTTTATTTTAAGTGCATTATTTATGCAAATGATATACTTGCAATATCTCCATTGAAGGTATATAAATTATTTTGTTCTTACGTATAATTTTTATTAGTGGTATTTTAAAACACACAAATAGTAACTTTTACATAGGTTATTTTATAATATGACTTTAATGATTAAATTGTATGATAGTGCATATATATATAAAACCACGTATGCATAAAAAGATCCATTTAGATATTTAATTATGATTACATCTTGAAATATGCTATTAAAAACAGTTTCACTGTTGTGAAATTGCTTTCTTCTTATGGTATTCTACCTCATGGAGGTAACTTAGAATTTTAACATAATTTAAGAATTTTAACTCTTAAATATTTGGCTACTTAAAGCATATCAAATCTAACATTTCTTTAAATATTTGGTTTGCAGTGTTAAAAGATCCCTGAAACTGGATGATCCGTTGGAAGCAAATGTAAGTATTTACTTGTGAGTTTGTAATCACATAGGAAAATTTTGTTCTTAATTTTTTTAACAGCTAATTTACCTTACTAAATATAAAAATAATAAAAAAACATTATGACCTAATTGTGATTGGTACATCATTTTCTGCATATAATGTATTCTTGTAAATCTAATGTATGGATGTTCCCAGCCAGCTGGAGGTTTTCATTTAAGTGGTAAATTATTTAGAAACCTTATGAAATAATTTAGTAGAAATTAACTCACTATTTGTAGAAAAAATATTCTGCCACTTAAATGCACAGGAAACAATATGGAACAATGGCAATGCTTTAACATATATTTTATAACCTTCTATAATATCTGAAATAAAAACATTAAAAGCATTTTTATATCAAAAATGTAATTACCTCCTTCAGCTATGCTGGCATGATTAAACAATAAAATACACTGTAATAAATTTCACCATGTTTGTCACAATAAAAATAAAATTGTACTGTTGCTATTACTTTTTGTAAATCTAGTCATAGCACATTCCCAGTGCCAGCATATCATGACATATGTTAGTTTATTATCTTTTCTTACCATTATGGATCTAGATACAAACACTAATACTCAGATACTTAGGGCCTCAGTAATCTTAAGCACAAGTAAATTGGTGAGAAAGTAAATTAAAACAAATAGCTCATCAATAAATAGGCTTCTACAAAATCCCATATGAGAGTGCCATTTTAAGAAATGGTTTTATATGGAATTCTTTTTTGGAAGACTCACTACTATTTAACAGTTTACCATTTTAAAAAGTTCCTAGGTGCTTTTTAAAAAAATTTAAACAAAGGTGGAAAAATACTGCAATGCCACTAAAAAAAATCATTAGCAGTGTAATTAGCAATTTAGAGTACCATTATCCAACTTGCTCTCTACAGAATGCAGCTGTGACTGTAATTCTGCATCTGTTTCTTTGGTCAGAATGGTATTTTGGTAGATGAGTAGTCCAGCTTGAAATGATATACTGTTCTTTCCTGCCCCCAAACTGTTCTTTGGGAGATGGTAACGTTATTTGAATGGAAAAGAATGGTCATTTAGGAATTTATTCTCTTTGTGAAGTAAATTGTCATCATGGCAGGCTTTCTATTATTTTTTTCAAGTTAGGATATACCAAGGTAGCCAGTGCCATGGCTAATATCCTGTATTAGAAAAATACGTTGTTATGTTTGGCCCAATTCTGTACCTTTAAACTAACTTAGTTTGGTACCACATGGCCACCACCTGCTGAACACTAGTTCTCAGCACCCTAGCCTGGGCCTTCAACATTTCTCTTTTCTGACCTGTGTCTGATATTTTCAGCTTTTGTACTCTTCCTAGCCATTTGGTAGCAGCTCTGTGTTCACATTTTAGATCTGATAGCTTTTGCACTGGTCCTCAGTCTAGGTTTCCATCCACTCCAAAAACAACTTAGCTCTTAAACAGCAAGGCTCCCAACAATCTACCATAATGCCAGTGATCCTGTTGAGGCTGCCTTAGCCCATGCAAAGATAGTCAGACATTCAAAACATAGAGCTATGATTCTAAGAGAACATAATTGTGTGAAGCTTCAGAGGAACTAGTAACTTGGTCATTTTGCCTTTCCAATATGATGCTGAAGGAAGAAGGCTTTGGTGTTCCAGGAGAGGAGATAGCCTTTTTATGTCTGTTGGTTGAAGTCGACCCTATTTGTCCTAGTCTACTACTATTTCCTCTTTTACAGATTTTGGTAACTTCCATATCCTGGTGTTCCAAATGCTACAACCTTCATGGAAATTAATCCTCCATGACGTTAGGGCAAATATATGTCTTTTTTTTTTTAATGATTCTATTGGGGGAAGGAAAGGTATGGATTACCCCTTGTGACCTTCCTTTAATATATAGAATGTATGCTGCAAGTACCACTACTTCTGAACCTTCCAAATTGTTGGCAGATAGTGATGAGTAAAGAAAGTTTCAGTTCATCATCACCAACAATAGTTGGGCTGCTCAAGTTACTGCCCTTCAAGCACTGTTTCTTGATGAATTTTCATGAGCAAAGATAAATTATTTATTACAAACTGATGCCAGTACTGGTCCAGATGAATTTATAGGGACAACTGGCTACCTGGCCATAGACCTAGCCAGCTTGACCCTATCTCTATCAGGCCACCTCAGGGAAGGAATGAAAGAAGCAGATGCCAGTGGGAAGGGAAGGAGCATACTTCCTGTTCAGGCAAACTCAGCATGCTGCTAGAAGTCTAAAATAGCAGCTCAGGTTTTGGGGGTGGTTTGCTGATTTGGACACAGATTATTCTATTAATATTGGTAGGACACTTCTGAGTCTGATTATTCCCATAGCCTAAGCTTGTCTTATCTATGACAGGGCTTCCTGGCATTAGGAAAATTTGTAGCTCACATTCTGCATGCAAGCTTACTTACTCATCTGGCTCAAATCTACTCCTTTCTTCTCTCCCCTTCCCCCGCCTTTCCTTCTTCCTTCTTTACCTTTTTAGTATAAAATGTTTCAAACATATACAAAAGTAGAGAAAATAATTTCATGAACTACCACATTGCCATCACTTAACTTTAACAATTACTAAAATTTTTCTAATTTTGCTTTACTTATATATATAAACATATCCGAGTGTACATATATGTACAGTCTCATGCCACATAATGACATTTCTGTTAACAATGGACCTCATATATAATGGTGGTCCCATAAAATTATAATGGAGCTGAAAAATTCCTGTCATCTAGTGATATCATGGCCATCACAACATCGTAGTGCAATGCATTACTCATGTGTTTGTGGTGATGCTGGTATAAACAAACCTAGTATGCTGCCAGTCTTATAAAAGAATAAAATTCAGTATGTACAGTACATAATACATAATAATAAACAAATATGTTACTGCTTTATGTATGTACTATATTATACTTTTATCACTTTTGAGTGTATGCTTTCTACTTGTAAAAAAAAAAGTTTGCTATAAAACAGTATGCCTTGTTGCTCCAGCAGCAGCCTCATACATCTCATATTTACTTTGTCTCATGATTGCATCATTTTTTCTTGCTCTTGATTTGACCTCATGTTATTTTGTACAATAACATTCTGTACAGGGAGCAATAGGCTGTTCCATAGAGTCTAGGTGTATAGTAAGCTATATGATCTAGTTTTTTGTGAGTACACTCTCTGATGTTCATACAAAGACAGAATCACCTAATGACACATTGCTCACTATGTATTCTCACCATTAAGCCACACATGACTGTTTATGTATATGTGTGTATCTGTATATGTTTTCCTGGAATATTTTATAAGTCTCAGACATGTCATTTCATCAGAACATTATTTATTATGCATTTTTAATAGATAATGGCTTCTTTCATAACCACAGTGCCAGTGCCATTTTACAAGGTATCACCTTGTAAAATTAATAGTTACTTCTTAATATTATCTTTCACCCAGTTTTTATTTTTATTTCCATGGTTGTTTCAAAGTATTCTTTTTTAAAAAATTCAATCTTGTATTTTTTTACATTACCTTTTATAGTCCTCTTATAGCCCCCTCCCCGCAGCAGTCACCACACTGTCGTCCATGTCTCTGAGTCCTTTTTCCTTTTTTGCTCTGCCCTCCCCCCTCCCCCCACCATGGCTGTCACCCTGCTCTCCATCTATGAGTCTGTCCCCATTTTCCTTTGCAGTGTTATTTATAATCACCAAGATATGGAAGCAGTCCAAGTGACCATCAGAAAATGTTCTTTTATACATTTGCTTATGTAAAGAAAGCCCTGGTTGCGTAGCTTAATTGGTTAGAGTACTGTCCCAATACGCCAATGTTGTGGGTTCAGTCTCCAGTGAGGGCACGTACAAGGAACAACCAATGAATGCATAAATGAGTGGAAGAACAAATTGATATTTCCCTCTTTCTCAAAAAATCAAAAATAAAATATTTTTTAAATTAAAAAAGGATCCAAACAATGGTGATCCATTATAAAGATTCTTATTTAAGTCTTTTTGAATCTTTGTAAATCTCCCCTTTTCTTTCTTTTTGCCATTTTCTTGCATAATTTTCTAGTCCTTTAATATAAAGTAAAGGGTGGTATTTTTAGATAGCTCCCTGACACCACCCAGAATAAGGTAAGGAATATTTTTTTTATTGTTGTTCAAGTACAGTTTTCTCCATTTTCCCCCCACCACTCACCTCCGCCCTACCCACCACCACCTCCCAACCTCAACTGTACCCTCTCTGGCTTTGTCCATGGGTCCTGTATACATGTTCCTTGATAACCTTTCCCCTTCTTTCCCTCGTTTTCCCTCTCCCCTCTCCCTTCTGGGTACCGTCAGTTTATTCTTTATTTCAATGTTGCTGGTTATATTTTGCTTGCTTGTTTGTTTTGCTGATTAAGTTCCGCTTAAAGGTGAGATCAAATGGTATTTGTCTTTCACCCCCAGGCTTATTTCGCTTAGCATAATGCTCTCCAGATCCATCTATGCTGTCGTGAAAGGTAGGGGCTCGCTCTTTCTTTCTGCTGCGTAGTGTTCCATTGTGTAAATGTACCACAGTTTTTTGATCCACTCATTTACTGATTGGCACTTAGGCAACGTTGCTTCTAGCACTTGGCTGTTGTAAATTGTGCTGCTGTGAACATTGGGGTGCATAAGTACTTTTGGATTGGTGTTTCAGAATTCTTAGGGTATAATCCCAGCAATGGAATTGCCAGGTCAAAAGGCAGTTGCATTTTTAGTTTTTTGAGGAAGTTTCATACTGTTTTCCACAGTGGCTGCACCAGTCTGCAGTCCCACCAACAATGTATTAGGGTTCCCTTTTCTCCACAACCTCGCCAGCACTTGTTGTTTGTTGATTTGTTTATGATGACCATTCTATTGGTGTGAAGTAGTATCTCATCGTGGTTTTAATTTGTGTCTCTCAGTTTTAATTTGCATCTCTCTGATGGCTAGTGATGCTTGAGCATTCTTTCATATGTCTCTGAACCCTCTGTA